TATCATCCGCAAGACATAAGTTGGCACCAAGGAGTAGAAAATGTATATTTGTTGGAATCCCAGCAGGCGTGAAAGGCGATATATTGTATGATCTTCTTGATCAAGCCATCTTCATATCTCGTGATGTTGTTTTTTACGAAGATCACTTTCCTTTGGCTCAATCAGTGTATTCTGAATCTCAGATTATGGCCCCCTCTTTGCCAAATATTCCTATAACAACAATTGAAGAATTCAACCCTCAAATGGATATTGATGCACGGGTTCAAAACAATGAAGGGTCATCATATGATATCTCCTTACACAATGAAATTGAGGATGAAGAGCAGCCTCTGGATTCTGCCCACATTGGCAGTAACTATGATGTTAATGAAAACCTGGCAGCAACAGACCCCATTCCAAGTAACAATTTTGAAGATGGTATGGGCAGTTTCGATTCTTCTGGTCACGCATAACAGTCTATAGACTCTACATTGCAGCATGATGTTTCACAACACCCTCGGAGGTCCAGTAGACACCGCCAACCCTCTAGCAGACTCCAAGGATATTATTGTGATACTGTGGTCAAGAACAGAACATCCCCTCACCACTTATCAAAGGTGATGACCTATGATAACCTTGGACTTTCACATAAAATGCTCTCTGTTGCTGTGACCTCCATCACTGAGCCAAAGTGCTATAAACAGGCTGTCCAACAAGACTGCTGGAAACAAGCTATGAATGCAGAAATTAGTGCTCTTCAAGAGAACCATACTTGGGAGCTCACTGAATTGCCACCAGGAAAAGTACCGATTGGATGCAAGTGGGTATATAAAGTTAAACTTAGAGCGGATGGCACGGTTGAAAGATGCAAAGCGAGGCTAGTTGCAAAGGGATATACACAACAACTTGGGATAGACTATCTTGAAACTTTTTCCACAGTTGCAAGGCTGGCCACAATACGGTTGTTCATGAGCATTGCTGTTTCTAGATCATGGCACATCCACCAAATGGATATCAACAATGCGTTCTTACACGGGGACCTTAATGAGGAAGTATACATGACCATGCCACCTGGTTTTGAGAGTGAGAAACCCAATCAAGTTTGCAAACTTCTACGGTCCCTGTACGGGTTAAAACAGGCAAGTCGGCAATGGAACGCCAAACTTAGCACTGCTTTGGTTCATGAGGGATTCAAGCAGTCCACCGCCGATCCATCTTTATTCACCAAGGGTGATGGTAAGGATAACTTCATTGCTCTCCTTATTTACGTTGATGATATCCTTGTCGCAAGTGCAAATATGGAGCTCATTCACAGTCTCAAGAAGTTTTTGGACACTGCCTTTAAAATCAAAGACTTGGGGCCATTGGGCTATTTTTTGGGAATAGAGGCTCACAGGAATTCTGATGGTTTAAGCCTAAATCAACGAAAGTATGCTCTCAAAATTCTGGATGAAGCCGGATTCATGGACAGCAAGCCAACAAACACACCAATGGTTCAAGGATTGAAATTGGTTCATAATGAGGGAGTGCCTATCACTGATGCTAGCATGTACAGAAGGTTAGTTGGAAGATTACTATATCTCACCGCAACCCGACATCACCTTCGCTGTCCAACAATTGAGCCAACATGTGGATGCTCCTACGAACACACATCTATCTGCTGCCTATAGAGTGCTCAGATACATCAAGAACTCACCAGGGCAGGGGCTGTTCTATCCTACAAATTCTGACTTGCAGCTCAAAGCTTTTTCGGATTCCGATTGGGCTGCATGCACTGAAACACGTAGATCCATTACTGGATACTGCATATTTCTTGGTGATTCTCTCATTTCATGGCGTTCGAAGAAGAAACCGACTGTCTCCCGGTCTAGTTCTGAAGCGGAATATCGAGCTCTGGCAGCCACTGTCTGCGAAATTCAATGGTTGACATATCTGCTTCATGATCTGAAGGTTCCCACAACCAAACCAGCAACCATCTTCTGCGATAACAAATCGGCGGTGGCCATTGCAGAGAACCATGTATTCCACGAACGCACAAAACATATCGACATTGATTGTCATGTCGTTAGAGAAAAGTTCACCCAAGGCTTAATAAAGCTCCTGTTTGTCACCTCTGAAAATCAGCTTGCCGACGGATTCACAAAACCTCTTCCTGCCTCATTGTTCAATCGTTTCAAGTCTAAGCTGGGTACACATGACTCATATGCCCCAGCTTATGGGGGGGGGGGGGTATTGAAGAATACACAGCATATAAATGAAGAGCAGCATGATCAAGCCAAACCGTAATCAAGGGCCCTTATGTCTTTTATGCTCTCTGTTCTCTTGGATTAGTTTTAACGGCTTTTGCCGCCCAATTCACTTTGTATATATGCTTGACTCTTCATTCTAGTACAACTAATGAAACAGATTTCTCCCTTTCCGCTCTTGCGTATCTTCTTCACCATCATCGTTTGTTTTTCCGTTAGTGGGGGAATTTGGTATAACTATTTCCTAACACACTAGTGTGTGTAAACGTGTAATTATTTATATATTTTAATATATAATATTCAATGAATGGTTTTTTTTAAATATCTTTTGTATGTCTATTCTTAAATGTACGAAATGCCACATTTTTTTTCCGAACCAATTCAAACAAATCATGCAATACAAATTTTTTTCTATTACTAACTTATTTCATTATATTGTTTATAAAATATAAATTCTATTTTCTCATAATCTATTTTGTAAATCATACATGCTTTTAATGATTGCTCTCTGTTATTTCGAGTTATTCGTTTTGATGTAAATTATATCCTATCTTTTAAATATTTTGGCAGTTAATTTCATTCCTCAAAGGAATAGAAATGTAAGACAACGTTTAATGTTTACATATTTTGATGTGCATGCAAGGTATACCTTGGACGTTTTTAAAAAAAAAAAAAAAAATACCTTGAACGTTTAATTTTGAATAGAATGACTAAATATGGAAGAAATATATCATAATAATGTATTACCAAATGGCCGGATGGATTAAGTATCATAACTAGTTGGATTCAATCCGTTTTCAGACCGTTTCTTAATTATCAAAAAATTTGAAAAGCGTTTTTTACATTTGAAATAAAAAAATTTAGGGTCAAACTTTAATATATTAAAATAATAATTAAGCCCTAGCCTCTAAAAACATCTCCATTTTTATGTCTTCGGTCTTCATTTATTCATTGTGCGTCGCTTTCAGTTCTCCGCTTCTTCTTTCTTCTTCTTCATCTTTCATTGTTGACGAACGGATGAAAATCTGACAGCAGGTGACACAAACAAAATTCATTACAAAATTTAAGGTTTGTTTTTTCTCTTTTTCTCAGTCCCTTGTTTTCCATTCATCTCTATATTTCATTTGTATACAACACACACATTTTTTAGATCTGCGCCTTTTCCCGTTTCTCCTTTTCATGCTACATAGCCTATCTTATAAGACACTAAGGAATGTTTGGTTCAATGAATACAACTTTATCAAGAAAATTTGAATTTCAAAATATCACATTCTTATGTTTGATTCAAGTTATATTACTTGTCCTAAGGAATGTAACATGCTTTTTCAAATCAAATTTTGAAAGTGATTCTCTTTAAATTAAAGTCTTAGGTTTATTAACATTTCTTAGCATATTTAATAATTTTTTCCTTTTAATTCTAATCATTATTTTTAAAGAAATATATATTTAATTTTAATATTATATATCTCAATATTAACCAAATATAGTTTGAAAATTTTTTCAAGAATCCAACATTCCATCACTCAAACAATCCCTAACGTATGCAAAAATCAATATAACTAGTACTTTGCCCCTTAATTGGGTCGGCTCGATACGAATAGGGATTAATATGAGCATGATACATGCTTAAAGAAATAAATGTGTCTCTTATAGTTAGGGTCATGGCTTGACAAAAAAAATAAAAAATAAAAAACTCATCCTAATCAATATGAACTAAATTATTGTAATAAAATAACATTACTTGAACTAAATTATTGTAATAAAACTTACCCTTGCTTCATATGATTACTTTACGATGTGGTCGGCTAAATCAATATGGTAGTTAATAAATATATAAGTTTACGAATTTATATATTTAATCACATGTTAAGTAAATGCTTTTCCCAACAATGACGTCTCGTTTTAATGAAAAGAAAACCTTATTGACTTTAAAATCAGGTACTTCAAAAATTTATGGTTCATTTAATATTCGTAATTATAATATTGGGTATTTATTTATTTTTTTAAAAAAAGTAAAAAGAAATTCCACAGTTCGTACTCTTTAGTCCGTAGCCATCATTATACCATGGGCCATGATTATATTTAGTGAATTTTTATTATATAACATGTTTATTTTTAGTATATTACATGTAATTGGTAATTATATTTTAATACACATCTTATTCATTTTAAGTCCACTATCTAAAAATAAAAATGTCATATACTACAAATGAATCTACACCATAAATAAATGTTTATTTTTAATATACTAAAAATTTATTTTTTTGAGTACTATTGAATCCGTTACAATGTTTGTAATGAGGCTGAAACCCATTACCTTACATTTGGGAGAGTCATTTCATACCGCTAAACCACAAAGTCATTGGCAAAGATTCATTTTAATGTATTAAAAGTTTAATTTTTTTAAAATATTGTATCTAAAAATGAACGTTATTCAAATGATCTATTTTATAAGGTGGATGGTATAATTTGTGAATCTGTAGAGGGGAATTCTTTGTAATAATTCTTATAATCCAAAGGAGTATTAAAGAAGCCCAGACTTTCCAAACAGGCAAACAGGGCACAGCCGTGTAACCCAATCGTTTCGTCATGGTGACGCCGGGGGAACGCAATATGAATAAGTGTGAAAATTTTTAACTAAAAACTTTTTCCGATATAATAATAATAAGAAATTGAGGAGAGAGAGAGAGAAATGAGTTAACGCGTAGGGAGATGAGATGTGACTCGGGGAATGGCTGTTTCCTCCTGAGAAGAAGAAAAAAGACGATCTTTATTTTTGAGAGCTTTCTTTCTATTCCGATTCCTTAACACGCAAACCGCCGTCTCATCTCTCTCTCTGAAAAAATAAAAAAAATTTGGTTTCTTTTTCTCTTTGACATTTTCACACCTACCTCAGTTTCACACCACCCCATCACCATATAAAACCCTTTCCCTTTCTCTCCCCTCAATTCTTTTCGATCTCTCACTTTCTTTTTTCTTCCGGCATTTCCTCGATCTTTCGTCTTCTTTCCACCAACCAAACTCGTGGAAACGCCATATATATCGTCAAGCACGTAGATATGGAGGGTCATCATCATCCTCCTCATCACCATCCTCAGTTGCACCCACAGGTTTCGCATCTCCAGTATGGCGGCGGCGTGAGTGTCGACGCCAGCGTCGGCGGCGGCGGCGGGAGTGGCGGGGTGGCGGATAGGTTTCCTCAATGGAGTATTCAAGAAACCAGGGATTTCTTGATCATCCGGGCCGAGCTGGATCCGACCTTCATGCAGACTAAACGTAATAAGCTCCTCTGGGAAATCATCGCCTCTAAGATGAAGGAAAAGGGTTACAATCGAAGCGCTGAACAGTGCAAGTGCAAGTGGAAAAACCTCGTCACTCGTTACAAGGTTTGTATATATATATGTTTCTATATTTAGATTCGAATCCATGGATATATATCTAAGTACTCCGTATCTAATAAACCATTAAATTATAAAGAAAGAATGAATCAGCAAACCAACTCGCTCATAAATTCTAATTGTTTTGTTTTCAAAATGAATGGGTCTTTGGGTAGGTTTTTTAGGGAAGAAAACATTGGTCAACTACGATGTATTCTTAATTAGATACGAAGATTCAAACCCTTTTTATTACAGTTAATGTTAACTAATTAATATTAGTAGATGTGTGTGGGTCTATTTGTTGTGTTAAACTGTTAATAAATTAAGGCTTCATTTTTTGTGTAAAGGGATGTGAAACGATGGAGCCGGAAGGGATGAGACAGCAGTTCCCATATTACAACGAGCTGCAAACGATATTCAATACGAGGATGCAAAGAATGCTGTGGATGGAGGCGGAGGGCGGCAGCAGCACGGCCGGCGGGTCGAAGAAGAAGGCGGGAATGGCGCTATCGTCGGACGAGGAGGAGGAGAACGAGGAGAGCGACGGGGAGGCGAAGAGTGGTCGGAAGAAGAGGAAGGTGGTGAAAAGCGGGGGGAGTGGGAATAACGTGGTGAATAGTTTGAGGGAGATTTTGGAGGATTTCATGAAGCAGCAGATGCAAATGGAGGCGCAGTGGATGAAGGCGGTGGAGGCGCGGGAGGAGGAGCGGAGGATAAAGGAGATGGAGTGGCGGCGGACGATGGAGGCGCTGGAGAACGAGCGGGTGATGATGGAGAGGCGGTGGAGGGAGAGGGAGGAGCAGAGGAGGGCGAGGGAGGAAGCCAGGGCGGAGAAGAGAGATGCGCTTATCACCGCGCTGTTGAACAAGCTTCGAAGAGAAGACTTGTAGGGTTTTTCTTTTTCATCCATGGCGGATCGGAGCTGAGGAACCAAAAAGGGACTTTAGATTGCGGCGGCGATTCATCATCATCGGAGGAAAAAAGCTAAAGCTAGCTAGCTTTAGCCTTTCAGAGGTTTGTCTCCAAACTCTTCAACATTTGAAGGAAAAGTGTTCCTTTGTTTTTCACCTAACATTAAACAGATCGAACTCATCATGTTCTTCGTATCTATACTATGTCCTTCAAGACTTGTCTTGCATTGCAAGTTAGCATATTAGACTAAAAATTAATCAAAATTTCCTTTCCCTTATCTTTATGCACAATTGTTGTATTATCAATTTATTATCTTCAAATAAATTTTGGGTATTTATATATTTATTTTTATCCATATATCTTACGTGTATATATATATGAGACTCACTCTTATTATAAGGCATTAACCATGCATGCAAGGAGGGGCGGCATTACTTGAACCATTCAAATTTTAAAATAATCAACATATGGCTTAGCTTCAAGAGCGCATCTGTGTTTATTATGTAGGTGTTTGGTGTTTTCCATTTTATTCGTGTTTAGCTGAGTTACCCTAATTTATATCCTCCCAGATACTCTTTTGGACTGGGACGTAGGACTCTTAGGGTCGGGGATTCAACCTTTAATTTTGGGATCAACAACAACAATATTTTATTCAATTAATAATAATGATATTATGGTTCAAAATTTGGTGTTAGTTTGTGGTTGATCCATATATCCGCGTAAATATAATGCATGGGTGGTCAAATTTGTATTGTGTCGGAACATCTCAGATGGTAGACCCTTTTGTGGTGCCAGGTTGCTTTCATATTCTGTAATGATTGCCCATTTTTCAACCATGATCTTTGAAGACAAATTTCCCTTCCTACTGCTCTTCTATCTCATTATCATCATAAATTACAACCTTTTTAAAAAAATACATATAATGGATTATAATCCAAATTTAGTCTAAAATTCGAATATATGTTTATAGTCCTATAATGTGTCTTACCATTAAACTACATTCTAAACTCATAAATTACAGCTTGAGTTATCTATAAACTTCTCTTAAATTTTCTTTCCTCAGTATCTGATTGAATTTTTCTCTATTTGATTATAAATATGATTCTTTTTTTAAAATCTCATAATGGGGTTAGCCAATTCATTGGGGTTTATAGGTACATAATTTAAATTAAAAATATTATTGTCACGTCAAGAATTACATTTAGGAGGAGAAAATAATATAATTCATACAACATTTACTAAAGTAGAATACACTTTGAATTATCTAGACATTGAAATAACTTGAAACTTTTGTCAACTTCTATAAGTACTGTAAAAACACAATATGATGCATATATGGTGTAAGATGACAAATCTGCATATTGTATGAGTATGAGAAAGGGTCAATTTGATGTTAAAATGGGTATAGTAATCACTCCCACTGCATTGTACATTAGGTGGTGGACACTAATTTAATGAGATTATATCTAGATTCATCCTAGCTACACACTATTAAAATTTATTATTAAGAATCAAAGGTGGTGGTCACTTTCTATTTTTACCTGCACAATATTATCACTATCTCCATTGCCAAGCAAAGGATAAAATTACCGGCAGTCAATTTCCAACATTATGTGGATTGAACACATATGGTGTCATGCCCCACATGTTTGATGCTGAATAATAGTTATAACTTTCACTGTAAAAATAAAAATAAAACTGTGCATTTACTACTTCTAATGGTAAAACTCGTTTTTGGTGGGGTATTCTCTCACTATTTATGTTGAACGACAATGATACAAAAAATTAGTTTAATTATATTATATTGTTTGGATGAAAAATGTTTCTCATTATGTCAATTAGTTGTTAGTGTTATGTGTGTTGTATATACCTTCCAGTTTAATTTTACTTGACAAGTTATGATAATTCATATTGCAACTTTTAATTTATTGGTGTGTCATTGTACGATTTAAAATTTAATACTTTGCTGAAATGGTAGCATTTTGTATGTTTATGATAATCAGCTTCTTCTTTTATGTGCCAGTGAAACTGGGAAATGTTATCCTTGTTTGTGCGAACAGCTATTGATCCGAAATTTTATGGATTGTACATATTGTCACACTAGAATTTGAGGCAGTACATATGTACAATGATTGTTTACAATTATTGGTACCCTCCAAACATACATATGCGTGCATTATATATTTGTTATATTTTTTTGATAATCTCGGAATATAGCACTATATATATATATGTATATGGTTAGATGTGAGTTTTCTCATTAGTTCCTTAGAAGACATTCTCTTTTATTCCTCATATGACTTGACTGATACTTCTAGGAATTAGAGAAGAATATACATCTTTTCTGTCTCTTAATTATGAGATTCGACCTATACTTTTTAATCTTGACTTAAAGTCTTTTATGTTGTTTCAAACTATACCATAGTAGATCCTCTTTCGTATGACAAATTTTGCATTGAAACATATTTTTTGTTTGACCATTTTCTTTTTTGATGACTAAATGTCTTTCCGTGCAATGTTTCTTCTAAGTTCATGAAGTTTAACATTTGCATAATCTAGCTTATATCTACATCATTTGTTGCTAGATTTTTCTTAAGGGATAACTCTATAATATATTATCTCTTTCGAAGTATTTAGTTTTATAAGAGTTTTATTTTACTTAAAAAATGAGAAACCTCTTATGAGAATATCTTTCTTTTGCATATGTGGCTTTTTAGCTTTGTCCAATAGAAGACAAAATGAACATCTTTTGCAGAAAATCAAGCGTTTGATTCTTTTGCCGAGATGTAATATCTTCTCCTCATTTGGTTACGAGCCTTTTGGAAGTAATTGTGTCTTCCAAATATTTAATTCTGCCAAATGATCAAACATTCTCTTCTGAATTGCATTCACTTTTATTCAACTAATTCCACCAAGTAGTAACCTCCTCTATTTTATTTAGTTTGTTGTTTGTATGTATATAGCTAGCTACTTCGATTAATAATTGTCTATTTCTTTTCTTGTCAAATATTGCTTATATATACAAGCTTCAAATGTCAATCTAATTTCTAGAAAATATTAATTTCAAGAAATGGAGCTAATTAATAGTCTATTCAAAATTTCAAGGACTAATACATACGTTCATTACAAATTATTGTCATTTTGTTACATAACATGTGACCTAAGAAGCTTAACAAAATTCTTTCTTGTTGAATTGGATTGGATGAGGAAGAAAGATATAAAAAGAAATAAAAAGACAATAAAGTTGAAAAATGTAAAACTACAAAAATGTATGTTTATGTGAATTATTCAAATGTGACACTGGATGGATAACTAACTTATGAACTTTAAGAGTAACAAAGTGATTGTATTTAGTAAAAATTTAGAGTGCGTCACCACTTGTTACAATGGCTAAGTATATATATACTAGGCTAATAACGGATACAACAACTAGTAGTAATTATATTGTTTGGATTAATTATAGATACAACGGATTTTACATTAAGTGTTGCACTAAATGTTTGGATTAATTCCCGCCTCTTGACCGTTACTGTTGATTGCTTTAATTTGACTCTCAGACCTTACCTAAGTGGTAATGCCTCCAAGTTAGACCTAAGACCCATATACTGATTTAATTATAAAAAAGTATTTTGGATGCTTATATATTTTAATTCTGGCCAAATTTTATATTTGCTCTTTAAATTTTTTTAAAATTAAAGATAAAAATTAATTAATATCATTAAACCACAATATTTGCTTTTGCAATGCTAATATGTTTATAAACGTAGCCTGACATATCTTTATGAATAAAAATATAAATTTAAATATTTTAAAGGTTCAATTAAATAAAAAAAAAATTTATTTCATTAAATAGAAAAATTAAGGAAATGGTAACAAATCATCATTATTATTATTATTATTATTATTATTATTATTATTATTATTATTATTATTATTATCATTATTATTATTATTGTTGTTGTTGTTGTTGTTGTTGTTATTATTGTTATTATTATTATTATTAGCTACGGCCACAAGCATTATAACATTTTATATATTTAATTTATGTTTAATGAATATTATGTTGAAAGCTGAATTTATATATGTAAAAGTTGATGTCACAATATTGTTTTAATATATTTTGAAATATCAATGTTATGTATTTAATTATGAGGTCACAACCTGCACTGTCACAAACTCGTATGTTTACGCAACTAAGTTTGCACAATAGTATTCAACTATTCATACATAAAAAATAAAAATAAAAATAAAAAGTCCAAATTGGTCACTGAATGTAATCTGAAAGTGCAATTATTATGCCATTGAACGAAAAAAAAAAAGAAAAAGAAAAAAAGAAATGCAATTAGACTAGTGAACATCCTAAATGTATGCAATTTCATCTAATAGCAGGTTACTATCCATTTATCATGTTGTCTACTTATGGGGATGGCAATTTGGCATTTTAAAACAATTTTTAATAATAAATTTAAAAAAAACGCTGGAATCAACATTATATATACAAGAATAATAGCACAATGGATTAAATTCCTTATAATAAGTATTACATTTATCTTTATAAGTAACTTTTCAACAATTAATTACTATATTTTAATTTAAAAATATTACATTTGTCACACTTTTCATCATAAATAATATTACATTTTTATTTATAAATAACAAATCAATATGTTTCAATAATATTACAATTTATCTTATAAATAACAATCAATCAATTAATTTATTACTGATTAGTATTATACTTTTTCTCATAAATATCATTGATTACTGCTGTATTTTCTATCATACATATTACATTCCCATTTAGACAGGCTCACAAAAAATCACTCTAAAGGTTTAAATCTATAATTAATCGGAAAAGAAAGTGCCCATTTATTTTCCATTTTAATTTATTTCCTATTTGAAGGTCAAATAAATTCTTCTTTGCTCATTTGTTTTCCTTTGTAAACATTTTTAATTTGTAGTTTTATATGTGATCTTTTTATTTAATAAACTTTTGATATAGCTTTTAGATATAAAAACTTTATTGACATGCCAATGTTAAGTTAATAACTAATATAAAACTCAAAATTACATTATTGAAAGACATTAGGATCAAGCGCGAGTCCTATTTGCTTTGGACGAAGTTTTTATCTTTTTTTTTTTTTTTCGTAAAGGGCAAAGAAAATTTTCGTAATCAATAAACTATCGTGTTTTAATTAAAATAATGATTGACTCGTCAAAAATTAGGTATTCAATTAGGTGATTTAATCTTGACTCTACTCTCTAGGCGTCTGATATTGTCTAATATGTATTACGCAATTATGATAAACTTTTAGACGGGTGACTTGATTGATTTTTATTAGAT